AGTGAATGATATAAATATAGGAATAAATATTAAAAATTATAAATATTACTAAGACAAAATTGAATGTTTGGTGCTCGTTTTTACTAATATAGATAAATTTTGATCTCGGTTCAATTTACTCTTTATCTGTTGATTTTGAAAACTAGAAGAAATTAAATGATAATTTGAACCGAGACTAAATTAATTTCACGTTGATAGAAACAGACGTAAGAATATCAGTGATAGAATCGTATTACTTCTATTAGATATTAAAATAATTAATAATGTAACTAACATAATAAATTTGCAAAAAATTTGCATTTATTATTGAGTACTAAGATCCAAATTGATTAAATAATCTACACCAATTCCGCCCTGTTGAATGTTATACATACACATATAATTATATGTACACTCGAATAGAAGATCCGCTTTAATCGTACGAATAAACGTTTTCCTTTAAGTCGACTAAATATAATCTTTTTATATAAATCTGACTTTCCTCAAACGAAATTCTAGGTTATTCAGTTCCTTTGTATTTCAAGTTTTTAAATAAGTATCTACATTCGCGTATCAAGAACTCACAGTATGACGTTTAAAGCGCATCGTTCAAAAGGAATCCAGAATCGCACGCGTGCCAGAACGTCTCAATGTATTGTTCGCTTTTCGTAATTTTACGTACAGCGTCATTCCCGAAAGCATCTTAATCTGCACATTTCGCGTCAACATAGAAAACTCCCATGACCACCGACCGCGCCGTGTCGTCGTGTTATCGCACGCGGATTCTTATTTATCTTCCGTACGCGACCTGCGTCTCTCGCGCGTCGATCAATAAAAGATATACAACGCAGAAAGGTGGCGACAACCGAGGGAGGACGAGAGGCAACGCGACGTGATCGCGAGAGGACGAGCGACGGTACGCGCTGCCAAAAATCTCGCATCATCGGTTGACTGACTCATCAGCAGCATAGGAAAATATTTGACTCTCGCCACACTAGTCATCCCGGGTATTTGGGGATGCTGGGTGGCTCAGGTGGTTGCGTGGCGGCTTGAAATAGCGCCGCTCGCCCGCGCAAAATCGCGTCGATTAGGGCCACGAATAGTGCGCGCCCACCACCTCGTCGAGAGCCATTGGTAATTTTAGAACATTTTGTTGTGCCAGATCAACGTCGTTGGCGTGCGTCACTGTCTCTTTGCTCTCGTGTACGTGCACTGATTTCTGCATAAAGTCGATTGGACAGAACGTAATATTAACGCATATCACGCATGAGATCATCTTGTATGTACGTGTCGTTATGTTACTAAACATCGGATTTTTCTGTAATTGCACATTTCTTTTAGAAAGTAGATTGAAAAGACAAAATAGATACTCTTATTTTACTAAAAAAGCATTCTAAAAGTGCATATTTATTTATGCATATTTTATGCATATTTTTATATTTTATATTTTGTCTATAAAAAAAAATCCGATGTCTAATTATTACAGAGAAAATGAACAAAACGAGATAGTTTTTATATTATTATTTTATTAACTTGTGTTGTCATACTTCTGTGCAAAAAAAAAATAATCAACACGAATAAACAAAAAAGACGAAAATAATATCTGCTTGATAATATTTTTATGTCAATTTTTCGAATTTCTAATTCAGGCAAACTGCGCGCTAATTATTTGTCATTAAATTAAAAAAAAAATAGCCAAATTGACTTGGATAATCTACGAAAATAAAAATATAAGAGAGATCAATAATAGGTATGACGTGTATTCTTCAAGAGTATCGACTTATTTGGTAGTCTAGCATTAATTATAGATCTGGTGTTCGCATTATCTGAAAGCAAATCGTTTGCTAGCATTTATTTCGTAATAGTTTTAATTTCGTCATCAATAATATTATCTCTTATAGAATAGAACAGATTTGGAGATTATCTATATATAAATTAAATCGATACCTTTCAACATTACGTAAAGATCAGGAATATACATATGAAAAATAATATAATGGCTTGGTATTTCGCTTTGTGTAAATCTGATTGCGTATTATCGTATATTTCTACTCGATTTCGATTATTGAAGAAACACGCGTCGAGCTTTTTTATAAAATTATAATAAAGTTTTAATTATAATTATACAAAGGCGCATCGTTCTTATCAAAAAACACTCGTAATCAAAAAGGGAAATAAAAAAACTCGTCAAACAGGAGGAATATGAGATAGATGGATAAATAGATACATAAATAGGGCGTTATTACCTTCTTGAAGAGCCATGTCCTTTATAAAAATAAACAAATTAATGCAAAGATGGTCTAAAGAGCGGTAAAAAATTACAAAAGCTAAAGAAATTAATCACGAAGAAAAACAAAAAAGGAAACACTCGAGCATAATAAATTCAGCAAAAATAAAATGAGATAAAAATAGAATTCAAAATACGGTAAAAACAAAATCGAAGAGAGAAAATTGAAGGGACAGAGAGAGAAATACGTGGATAGATAAGTACATACACACGACTACGCGGGAAGGGGGCAAGAGACACCAAGAGAGCAAGACGGTGAGCGAGGCGGGAAGGGAGAGGGGGAACGGGCGCGTGGCAGCGCGTGGTGCCAAATAGGGCATCAGGTGGTTGCGAGACGCCCGCGAGAAAAAGATCGTACGCGCGTGCGCGTATATACGTGACTGCTAACCGGGCGCTCACGCACGCATGCAAGCACGCACGCACGCACGCACGGACGGACGCACGCGTCCGCACAAATGGCACGCGTCTCTTACCCTGCCGAGAGGAGAGGTGCCCGCGGTCTGTCTCATGTATGGCAGACACGCGCGCTCACAGATGTTCAGAGACAGGGGGAGAGAGTGAGAGAGAGAGAGAGAGAGAAGGAGAAAAACCACCGTCCGGGGATAAAATTACTTTCTCCATACGTGACGGATTTGTATCGCTTTTACCGTGGATGACTACGTAACTATTTATACATATACATATATATATGCAATCGGCCAAACGCGAGAGGCCACATTCTCGACGCTCCGTTCGTCGTGATAGATCCAATAATAGCGGAGTAGACCAGAGAGAGAGAGAGAGAGAGAGAGAGGAGGGGGAGAGCAGGTCCCTTGCTCCCCCGCGATCGATGGTCTCCTCCACGTCATCCCGCGCGATACGTACGGGATAGCGATCTGCGGAATTTCATTATCATGCCGCGCGCCTTTTCTCAGCGGGCTTAGTTACCGATATAACGATGATAATGGCGGCAATTTGCGCGCTCCGCGCGCGTAATAGAATCTACTTATTCTCTAAGACTTCGCGCATAATTGACTGCAGTAATACAAGATAATTTACCGCGGTACACGGCTTACCATATTTGCCCCGGCTTGTACTATCGTACGAGCCGTTAATAATTTCGCACCGCGTCGCGACAATAGCGCGCGTTACGATAGGAATAGTCATCGACGTTGACGACCGGCGGACAATTTAAGTTTCGACACGCGATCCACCGCCGACGGATCTCTGGCCTGCTTACTTTAATTTAAGATTACAATTCACACGCACGCGTCCCCGAAAACGAGACGCTGAGCTCTTGTCGCTTATATTCCTCTTCGAGACATAGGAAAGAGAAAAAGAGAAGAGAAAGAGGAAAGGAAAAAAAAATTTCCCGTGACAGGATTTGGTGACAGAGTCGTTCTCCGCGATGTAACGTCAGATTGATCGTACAACGCTCTGCCCTACACGCTTCGCTTTTTCGCTCTCCTTCTTAACGCCGCAGTTCGCGGCTTTTCCTCCATCTTCCTCCGTCGCGTGCTCGCGCGCGTTCTCGAAAGTACCTCGCGGGGACAGGGAAGAAGGGGGGACGGGGGACAAGAGTCGCGCGCCGCGGGTCTACGTCACGACGCTCTACGTCACTAGTGAACGGGGTTGTGGAGCCGGCCGGCGGAGCCGAGGGCGGAGGGGGAGGAAGCTCCCATGGTGGGACGCTAGGACGCGGAGGGAGATAGGGGAAGGTGGCGGCGCGCGAAGGGCAACTGGTGGGGGTAGATATACGTTCGTACTTCGTAAGCACTGGCTGGTAACTACGGCGGCGCGAGAAGCATGCTGACTGGGTGGGGCGAGGGGGAGAGGGGAGGGAAGGGGGGGGTCGTTCAGATCTTACACTTATACATGCGTGGATGCGATACTCTCGCGTGTAACGTATACACGCATATATATATATATATGATATACACGTGTGCGTATATAGGAACTGCGTGAGTCGTGCGTGTATTTAAATATACGCGCGTGTATACCTTAAATACACACACGCGTATATGCGCTGGCGTATATAAATACGCGCATACGTATGAAGACGTATCCCGCGCGCACACACGCGTGCGTAGACAGTGGTCCGGCCGGGCGGGGATTGGCTGGCGGTCTCGACTCCGCGCTTCCAAATATGGGACAGTCTCGGCGGTCCATTCATAAAACTACGGGGCGCGCCGCCGCTCGGCTCAGTTCGTGCGCGACCCCCACGCATCGCGCGTCCTTTAACAACGTCGCCGTGCACGAGCGCCAATACATATTCTCTCTCTCGGCCGAGCTGTGTACCACCTTTACTTTGGAAGGACTGAGTCGCGTTTAAAGAAAGGAAAAAAAAAAAAACAGAAAGAGAGAAGAGAAGCGCGCTGTTTGAAAGAGAGACGGATAAACATGGATGGACAGAGAGAGAAAGAGGGAGAAAGATAGAGGAAGGGAAAGAAGGAGAGAGAGAGAGAGAAAGGAAGAGAAAGAGTTGTCGACGCGACGTAAAACGCGCGCGGCCACTCGCGCGCGCGCGAGCGTGCTCACGTTTGCGCGCCTACGCACACGTTCCCGGATCATACACACTGTATTTGCTCTCACTCGCGCACAGATTCGGAGCACGCGTGGACCTGACGCGGCAGCGGCGGCGGCGGCGGCGACGGCTGCGGCAGCGACGGCGGCGGCGGCGGCAACGGAGCGACGGCGGGTGGCGGTTGCCGGACACGTCTTCTCTCGCCGCACGAATACTTTTGCCTCGCTTTCCGACGCGTATTCACATCGGCTCTCTCGGACGCCGCGTTCGTGTAACGTCCGGAAGGTGAGAAGAGGAGTGTAATACACACACGCGCGCGCGCGCGCGTATACACACCGGTCTCACGATATATATATATATATATATACCGTGTCGTTTATAAGTTCTCTGTCCTCTTCAACGTTCGCGAGGTGAAAACGGTAGTGGTACCAGACCAGGTCGAGAACCATCAGAGAACCAATCGACGAAATATCTATGCGTATTCAAGACAGCCGCAACGGTCCTACTACACGCGCGTAGCTTCCTTGGCGCACACGGTGGTGGTAAATTATTGGTGTCGGTGATGGTGATTACTAGTGGTCGGTGGTGGTCTATTCCGCGACGTGGTGTTACCGGCCACGGCCGGTGGCATCCATCGAGGTAAAAAAAAAAAATAAAAAGCCAAGGCGGGAAGGAAGACACCTCTTTTTTTTTCACGTCAAACCGGCGCGCCGACGGTTTGATTGAGTTAACCGTTGAGGGTGCGCGCCACGCGATCGAGCAAGAAAGAGGGATACACATACTTAATCACTACTAATCCTACTAGCTGAAAGGAGTAGAGTGACAGACCGATCTCTTTGACAGAGATCGGGAGACATTAACGCATTATTCACACATCTTTAACCCGCGCGCGCGCGCTATTTACATTGGGAGGAAGAGCGAGAGAGAGAGAGAGAGAGAGAGAGAAAGAGAGAAAAGATATTTAATTGCTCTCGCGCGGAATAATAACTTGGAGTGATCGAGAGAGGATTGCGGCTGTAATTTTAACCATAATAATTACGTTGAACGATACAACCGCAGGCGAGGACACGCAGTGCGGCACCGAGGAATCTGCCGTCGCCCAGGGAGGCGATCAGCTCCAGAGGATGACTATGGACGGCGTAGAGGTGGTGGGCTCGCAGCCGCACGCGGCTACCAGCCCGTTTCTGCTCTCCTCGCCACCATTAGGACACCATAATCATCATCATGCGACGTTTAATCTGCCGGTGCAGCTTAGCTTCGACGCGTGTTTACCGTACAACGCGGCCTCCTCCTCGTCCGGCTCGGTCACTTGCGGCGTCAGCGGGACATCCGTGAACGCGATCTGCACGAATTCGTCCTCTACCAGCTGCGGCAGGAACACGCCGCAGCTCTCCCTATCCTCGAACGTGCCGTTACATATGCAACTTCAGATCAGCTCGACAACCCCCACGGAACACAACCACGAGCAGCATCATCAGCATCATCATCGATTGGACGGTCATCATCAGCATCAGCTGCACCCCAATGCCTCGTCACCGTCCATCGATCCCGCGGACGACAAGCGGCACCGGCAGCCCGATGACGACGACAAGAGTTGCATCAGGAATTGCAGGAGCGATATTCACGATACGAACGATAAGGATAAGCCCGGCGATTTGAACACGCCGGTCACCACCAGCAGCGACCTACCGTCTTTCTTCGGGCCCTCCGCGCTTGTCGAACCGCCACCAATCTCAGGTATACCTACATCAGCTAATCCTTAAGACGAGAATCGAAAGATCGAGGGACAATCCTCTCGTTTCTGTCTCTATATACTTCATCGTTACGACTTTATTCACTACTCCGAATGCATTTCGTTGGTGGCGTAAAACGGACAAATGGGGGGACAGACAACGTATGCGATTGTTGTGTTGTGGAGTTGAGGCCCGCGGGGCCGATCGGATACAACATGTATCCCTCGTGATTCGGCGAACATTAACAGGATTACATGGGCGAAAACACGGCGCGCCCATTGAACACGTACTGTTTCGCTTTCGTCGACCTTTCGCTTTCTATATACGTTTCGCGAGCTCCTCGCGTTCCTCGATGCCTGGTCGTTAACATCTGCATCATTCGCGGGAAAATTTAGATATCGTCCAAATATTCGACTCTCTCAACCGCACTCTCAGCGGTGCGCAAGCAAGCAGCCGGTGGCGTCTGCGGCGAAGAGCCACGAGGCGTGTGTTACTGACGTTTATTACACTCGCCCGCGAAAACACGTAATATCGAAGGTCTGTCCGCCTGTCGCGGATCAATACCCAACGACCCCGACATTCAGAGACCCTCCTCTGCATCACCACCACCACCTCCTTCTCCTCCTCGCCCGCCTCCTCCCACTATCCCTTCGGTTCGGTTCATTCATGCTTCCAGCTGCCCCCACCTCCGCTACCCTCAGTACCGTAATAACCCTCCCGATTATCGTACAGCTTTACAAAAGCGTTTGCTATACGTATACCACCTTTTTATCTCCCGTCATGAAAGTATGTATATTTTAATAAAAGCGCAGACGCACACAATTACGACGATCCCAGGCGTGTTTTATTCCTCAGCGATACATTCGACGAGTTATATCTGGAAAACTCATTATCGAATTCGATAGTCTTTTCATATGTATAAAAAAAAAAAAATTGCACGCTATTATAATTTTATTTGTTTGATGAGTACTCGTTTAACGTCAGTCGAGCAATTATATGCGTATGAAAGGAAGTAACAACGCGGCAGGATGCAGACAAAAGATAGAGCCTCTGAGAGATAAAGTCACCCCCGTATCGCGTGTTTCTTCCTGTCGGTTGCCGGTTGTATATACAAATACACAACCATTCGTCGCGTATATAGGACATGAAACATAGGGCATATAACGACACGCACGTGATACATTTGAAATCGAGACTAAACGATGATCTTATCGGTGCTTCACAGGCAGCCTGGCGAGCGAGGATCTCTCTCTGGAAGAGGCAACCGGGGAGGAAGACGAGAACGGCGCGTCCGCCGGTAGGGATCATCGGCATCACCATCATCATCAGGATGCGCGAAATGCCGTCACGTCGAACGCGCCTCCTTCGAACAGTCCGCCGTCCCGTCATCATCAAACTCAGGACGAGGCCGAACGCTGTAACGTGCTGCAGGGTGGTGTAATTTTATACTCACCGCATTCCACGTCTACCGCCCCCGCGACGAGCGTGAATATCTGCAATGTACCGACATTGACCTATCGCGGCGTCTTCACCACCACCTGTACGCAATCCTCGCCCCTGAGCAATCTGCAGGGTGACCAGCAGCAGCAACCGCAACAGCCGACGGGTCAGGAGCTGTGGGCGCCGTTACCGTCACCAACGTTAACCTTGGCGGCCCAACCGTTCCTTCACCCCAACCTACACTCGACCGCGTACAGCAGTGAGACCGTCGAATTGCTGCAGGTCGATTCGAAGCCACCCCCACCGCCCGGTTACCACGATACGGCGACCACCACCTCCACGACCTGGCTGACAGGTCACGAGGATGCTTACGATCCTGGTCTTCTCTCCCACCATCATTCTCACACCCATCACCAGGAGACGACGTTGAAGCAGGAGCCAACCGGCACCGGTTACACTCCAAACGTACAACAGCCGCAGCAAGCTCAAGCACAAGCTCAACAACAACAACAACAACAACAACAGCAGCAGCAACAACAAGCTCCACCTGGACAATCTGGTGCCTGCGGTAACGCGGCGGGAGTCCAGCTGGCCGAATATAATCCGAGCACGTCGAAGGGCCACGAGATCCTTTCTCAGGTCTATCAGCAGAGCGCGATACCGCTCCGATTGGTTCCCGTGAAACCGCGCAAGTACCCAAATCGACCGAGCAAAACGCCGGTCCACGAGCGGCCCTACGCCTGCCCGGTGGATGGCTGCGACCGTAGGTTCTCCCGCAGCGACGAGCTTACCCGGCACATACGCATCCACACCGGGCAGAAGCCGTTTCAGTGTCGCATCTGCATGCGCTCGTTCTCGAGGAGCGATCACCTAACCACCCACGTGCGCACGCACACGGGTGAGAAACCATTTTGCTGTGATCAGTGCGGCCGAAAGTTCGCCAGGAGCGACGAGAAGAAGCGCCACGCGAAGGTACATCTGAAGCAGAGGCTCAAGCGCGAGGCGTCTCACGCTAATCCAAGAACCCATCACCAGAGCCACGCGTCATCACCCTGCAATCAATGAATTCCATGACAACGATGTTGAAAAATCCCCCCCCCCCTCCCCCTTTAACACGTTTGAGATCTCATTACGTTCGTCACGTTGTTCTGACGAGTTGTGATCTATGTCTACTCGATTTTTATTCTCCTCTCCCTCCTCTCTCTCTCTCTCCTCCTCCCCCCCCCTTTCTCGACCATCGATCATCTCTTCTTTCCTGCATCTCTCATTATGGCCGATGAAGAAATTGCGGAAATCTTTAGGCGGTCAAAATTGATCCGTCGTCGACTGATCCGTTATTTATCATCGGTCCTCCGTTATTTATCGTCGATCCTTTGTACATAGCATCTTAGAAGCATAGCTGGATACAAATTAATGGAATCTTACGAGCACAAGGATTTTTTGGAATTTTCGCTATCTCATATCTATAAATTATAAGAATAATAATAAACGATTTGCTCATTCTGAAAATTATTATGTGAGTCAAAAACGAAAGGATTAGATGTCGTATATATACAATTCTTATCATTCGTAAGAGAACGATTAACTTCGATTATTTTAAGAAATGAAACTCATAGGAATACGATTTTCTCATTGTACAAAATAATGTCTCTTGCGTCACAGCGAAAAATCGAAGTACTTAAAATATACTACAATCTGTGCGATCATTGAAAACAAACTCACGCAGTTGAATGGGAGCCATCACAATGAAATGGAAGTTAATCGTCCGATTATAAAAAAAAAATCCCGTTCTTAAAATAAAAAAAGTGACAGACATTATTATTCTGCTTTACATGTCTTCGTGTCTTAGCTTGTATCCAGATACGTACAAAAATGTGAACTGGCTCTCTCTCCCACCCTCTCCTCTCGCGAGATATTCGGTGGCATCTATCTCGATGCCATTGAGCATGGCGAGAGCATTTTCGTGCAATTGTATAACATGAAATCGATACCATCCGCAGTTTCCGGGAACTGTAGAGTGAAGCGGAAGATAGAGAGAGAGAGAGAGAGAGAGAGAGAGAGAGAGAGAGAGAGAGAGAGAGAGAGAGAGAGAGAGA